ATATGTGACGTTCATGTACTCTTTCTACCATTACCACAGGGTTTGACGAGGGTAGTGACCACCATCTTTTGGTATGTGACATTACTGTTCTGTTTCTTTCATCATCATGGGGTTTGACGAGGGCAGTGACCACCATTTTTTATATGTGACATATTCTTCTCTTTCTTTCATCACCATGGGGTTGGACGAGGGTCGTGACAACCAATTTTGGTATGAGACGTTCTTTTCTTCAGAACATGGCAAACATTGCAAAAATTGTCTGCTCGATTATTACTACTTATTCAGTTTCAGATAGATAATTTTTACTAGACAGGGTTTAAATCACAAAACATAAAATATATTAGTTATAGTATTTTAGATCTACGTATTATATTGCTTACAGTACAGTATAATAGTGTTAATAATTAGTGTAGAATGGAACTGTCTGAAATTACTAAGGAAAAACGTAAAAATATACAAAACGAAAAAAAAAATATTGACAGCAGTTGTAATAGCAGCTGTGAAATGAAAACTGGGAAACGATTTGTTTACAAATTACGTTATTTCCGTTGTTTAGATTTGGGAGGCTGTGATCGACTCGGAGGAATAAAAGGGATATCGGGCAGTACGTGCGATTTCCCTGGTAGTACAGATATCAGCAATCTTTCTGGCACATTCCTCGATTACAAGGAAAGGCACGTTTTCCATCATGAGAAGACCTCTTAGCGAAGTTTTATACTTTGCTCCAATCACGTTTTAATTAAAAAATTAAGTTGTCCCCTGAACGACTGACAAGAAACATTAAGTTGTATGTGATGGAGTGATGGGACGGGCTATTTTACAAACCATCGTTTAATCACTTTCAGAACTAAATAAAAATTTCGGTATTATTAATTATTATTTGAAAATATACAAAAAGAGTTTTTTATTATTTATAATAATATTTATTTTATTATTGGATTACTATAAAAATTTAATACACAATTGTAAGATTAGTTTATATATAATGTAGCTGTAACTTGGAATAAATTATAAAATTACAGAACATTTTTTAACGAGGACATTTCATCTACGAGATTATCGGAACCCTCGTGGAACTGGTGTTTTTGAAAAAAATCCCATTTATGAGAATGTCGTGTTCGAATGAAGGGCCACTGGATTCGAACCCGAGACCTTTACCACAAAGTGATGAACGCCGTGTCAACGCCTGCCCGTTGCAACCACCGACGCCCCCGTTACAGAACATTGTAAACACTACTGAAGATGGGAGATATATCTGGTCTGAATCGCATGAATCCATTGCATAAAACAAATGGTTTTGATATAGATTTTGTAGCAACAATTAAATGTTTTCATCGTCGGCCCTCCGCGAATGTTGCCTCTTTTTCTTATCTTTTTGGCGTATTGTTTTACACTGTTTATCTAACACAAAATACGTGTATCAATTTTTATATAAACAATAAGAAAATGAACCAAAAAAATCTATCCACAAAAACACCTAAATCACTAAAAATGGACATACGAAAATAATCAGAAACGATCAAGCTATAATTTCATCACACAGTAGACATTAAAAAGAAATCCCACAATTTTGCCCGTGAAAATCGATTTTCTTAGTTTGGAATAAATGTGGCCCGTCAATTTAATTACATCAATTGAGCAGCACATGATTTAAAGGATTCGATGTTCCTTATGATCGTAATTTTGTGAAAATAGCTTTCCTTTTTGATAAATATAAGTGTCTCGGGTTAATTAACAAAAACAAGAATATGAAGCTAATACATAATTACATTTATCAACGTGATACAATAACGCTTGACAATCTTTTTTTTTTAATTTACCTTAATCTCTTAATCCTTGTCTGACATCAAAAGAGCTCAGTATAAAAAATAATGTTTTTATAAAAGCGTATTAGCAATATTTGTCTAATTGCGACGATAGTATGCTAATTGACTAAAGAGAACTTTATTGGGTTTAATTTGAAGGTAACGCTCTACCCATTACCAGACTGAACTATTCATACAGATATTGCTGTTTATGAGTTAAGAGCTCTCTACGCTAGTCTAGTTGCTTTTATGCACCTCTACACCTAGTTGTATAATGTATTGTGCACAAATGCAATTTTCACGGTTCGGCTTCCCGGGGGTGGGAAATGGCACCAGTGAGCCGTTTATCCCGCTTCCATTTCCAAAGAGCATAGTCCACCCCTCTAAATCAAAATCTCTTCAGATACGTCTTTAATCACACTGGGTATTTCTATTGTCCCATATTCATCCCCGTTTCCAATTCCAATATGAGCTTTGCCTTTGCAGGTTCACCCTCCATTACTCCACCCTCAACACCCTTTCTACTTCATAACGCTTCTGGGAAAATTACGAGCAAAATTTTCATCATATTGCCGTCTTAATTACGCCCGTTTCCCTTCCCTCTCGTTCAATACTCGACTCATTTTAAGAATTGGATTCGACTTTTCACCGGCGAAACAAGAGATAATAAACTCGAGTTTTATTATAAGGTGTTTAATATTCAAATAATCTTTAAAGCGTTATATGTAAAATTGTGTAAATAAAGAGAGGAATGTTTGCAATGGAAAATCTCATATTTTCATCACTGAAACCAATTATACAAAATAATGATAAAAAATAAATAGAATGAAAAAACAATGATATGGGAAAACAGCAAAATGTAAGTATACATTTAAAAAAATCTACTCATGTTAATTTATGTATTTGTTCTTTTCCCCTATATAACTCGAATCCATTGCATAAAACAAATGGATTTGATATAGATTTTGTAGCAACAATTAAATGTTTTCATCGCCGGCCCTCCGCGAATGTTGCTTCTTTTTCTTATCTTTTTGGCGTATTGTTTTACACTGTTCATCTAACACAAAATACGTGTATCAATTTTTATATAAACAATAATAAAACGAACCAAAAAATCTATCCACAAAAACACCTCTATGTCCTTCGAAAATCGAAATAGGTAATCCAAAAATTCGCTGCCATATTCGAGCACAATTGCCATAGGGTGGCATTCCTACTCGCTCTCACATATTAAATAACCTTCTCTTTGGCCTAAAAGTAAATGTCCGATTCTAAGTCGAGTTACAATGGTTCTTATTCTGCCATTAGAGGGTAGACGGTGCTATTTTTCTGAGTTTCTTGGACGCCCTCGATCTTTTGACGCTACTACATTTTCTTTACCATTCTTTATTATCGGTTTAGAGTCAATCTGAAGGGTCTTGTTCGAGATGTTTTTGGCATGGGGAAGGTGTATCTATGACGGACGGCTTATAACCCAGTAAGTTTAGACTCCGAGTATTGACACGTTTTTTTTAAATGATTTATTTACAGCATGACCACATTACACATTACATGCTCTTGATGTACAAATAACGACAATGTAACAAAATAGTACTATAGTTCACACTCCTAAACACAGGTTAGGAAGAAAAGGAAATATTGCTTCAATAATAAATCATAGTTTATCAAAATCTATTGAATTTATAGAAATACAGAAGTTTTTACACGTGTCGCTATCCAGCACTAAGTAGCTTTTATCTGGAAGACACGGGGCGCTTTTCAAGCACAATTTTTTGAAGAAAAGATGTTCTCTCTTTTCCAAACATTATGGTTCATTATGGTTCCAAACATTATCGCACAGGCATTCTGAACCTTATATAATGTTGAAACGATGAAGATACGCTATATTCCTTCCATGGCCCGAGAGAGCTTCGGTTATTTTGTATGTCATGTCGGCGCTGCTTCTTAACCTGGAGGAGATGGTGGGAAAGAACAGCTTTGTGTGCTGTCCCACAGCAGATTCAGACCAACTTGCTCCCATTTCACATTTCTCCAAAACATCCACGGTAACCAAGGTTTCCATAGGTTCTCGGTGCCGTTTTGTAGGTTTCTGGCAACATAGAGTATTTGGACGCTTGATGGCCAGGTTGACGGCTCTCGTTGCCCTCTTCGCCCACATGGGCCTTTACTTTGCCGAATACCCCGTCAATGTTATTTCTTTAGTCCGCAATAGAGGGTGTGCATTTGTGTGTGAGTGAGAGAGAGAGAGTGAGAGAGAGAGAGAGAGAGAGAGAGAGAGAGAGAGAGAGAGAGAGAGAGAGAGAGAGAGAGAGAGATAGACAGAGAGAGATAGAGAGAGAGAGAGAGAGAGAGAGAGAGAGGGAGCGAGACAGCGAATTGAGAGAGAGAAGAGATAGATACATAGACAGAGAAGTGAGAGTGAGAGATAGAAGAGAAAGAGAGATAGATAGATAGATAGATAGATAGATAGATAGATAGNGAGAGAGAGAGAGAGAGAGAGAGAGAGAGAGAGAGAGAGAGAGAGAGAGAGAAGATAGAGTGTAAACACACCTCCAGTGAACGAAATTTAAGAGGTATTTTACTTTTTAATTGTAATGATACATTACTTTACTTTTAGATACTTTATACACAAATGTATCAGTAATACATATGCTAATGGAATAATTAATTTTTACCACTTATGCTTTTCAATTGATGTGACATCATACCTACTGTAAATAAAGGCGCGCTGAAATTACAATATATTAAAAGTAAAAAGTATTTTCAATAGTGGTGAACATATTATCGTAGGGATTTGATTATAAAAATTTATATAACAGTAGTATGTCAAGCGAATACTATAAGTAAAAATAAAAAATAAAGAAAATTCGGGTGGTTTGCTTTTTGTCGGATTTAAATTGATTCCGAGCAGGTTAAAGATAGAAAACTGCGTTTGATATGCTTCTGTAACAAACTTAATGAGTTTTTTGATTGGTTACGTTTACTTTTGCCAATTTATTTCCTTTGAAGTATTTTCATTTGAAGATTAAAACCAAAAGTATTTGGATATTTTTAAAATCAACAAGACATTTTTGTCTCTCAAAGAATTGCAAAGTACGTTTTCGTATAATGGTTGAATATAAAAATATTCGAAAAAGATAAAAAGAATTTTCAATACAGATGTGTTATTTGTTGTAGTATTTATAAAACATTTTACTACGTGGATGTTCATTTTGTCTCTATAAAAAGCTAGTGCGTTTTGCTAAATCAACAAGGCTTTAAGAAAAATTTCTGTCCGGACTGGAAAAGAATCGTGCAGCTATATCTTTGTTGGATGGAAAACGTACGTTGCCCTTACGTGAAGGGTTGTAGGATTTGGGATGTCGTTCGTGAGCCACGGTTTCAGGAGACAGGGGTTCCGTTGGGAATGAGCTCGACATCTCCCATAGGCCGGAAACTAGCACCTCGCCAATTCCAGCCACGACACATCAATACATAGTAAAGTCGAAAACCTTTGGAGCCCGTCTTCATTTGACCGCATCCTCGTATCAATTCGTCGGATGAAAAGGATCCCCACTCAATGGCTTGCTCGACAACAAAAAAACTAGGCTGAAAAGATTTGCATGGGTCTAACAATTATTTTACAAAAATTTGTTTATTTTCTAGTCTCATCTCTGAATCTGTACAAAACAAGAGGAATAGATTCTTGATGGCACATTTCTTTTTTTCAACCTTTTTGCGAGTGTTAACACCGATGTTAAGTTTGTTATCAATGAGTAAACCAAGGTTTTCAACGCTATTATTCCGAGTAGCATTTAATTAATCGATTCTTATACTATGCCTAAATAGAGGATATTTTTTTAGAGAATCAGTTATGAGCCACGTAAATAAATTCGTTATTTATAAAACAATAGTTAGACACATGCCGTGATATGCCGCTCAGGTGTGGAGTTATACAAGAACAGCAACATTCAATGCATACACATCATTAAAAAAAAAGTTTAAAATAAATAACATGATCTACAAAGAGCACTCACATAAACTACATATGCATGAAATTTTAAACATATCTTACATTCTTTTATCCACGTCGAAAATTATGTGTGTCCACTTTTGCAGACCCGGCTCACAGCTTCTCACACTCATCCTGTGCGGTGCGTAGAGACGTTGCAGTTCCTCGGTCTCCTGCTTGGTGAGAAGTTGAGATAGCAAGCACACATCGACGCCGTGATGAAATATATTGGTTACTTTAAGTGGAGAATGGACAGAGAGACACCCTTTTAAAAATGTGTGACTCGCTGTTTTGTTCGCGGATGGATATATGGCTTACTTGTCGGCCCGGAAAACGCGCCTGAGAAAGCTTGATAATCCCTACTATCAAGGACTCAGAGCGATCTTTGGAAGGTTCAGGCCTTTGGCCAGCCTGTGCTGCGAGCTGGGGGGGTCTTGCTTTCCGAAGTTAGGAAAGAGCAGCTTGCCATTGTTTAAGAGTCCTGATGCTTGGACAATCCAGGGCACCATTCTCTAAGACGATCCTCTAGTGCCCGTACAGAATTGAGTACAACATACTTCGTACGCAAACGCGACTCCTCGGGATTCGCTTCGGCACCTGCACCTTTCTGGACGTTCGATGATCCAGCGAACTTGCCGAAGTTGTTTACACCGCCATATCTCTCTAAGGCCTTGAGCTTAGAAACGGATATGTCGGTTTTTGTCTGGTTTTACAGACGGGTCCACCACCAGCAATGGTGAGCGAAGGATGGGCCACCATCTGATCGTTGCCAGCTGGAGCGCCATGGAAAAATGGTGGTTGTTGTAGGGGTTCCCGTCGGCCTAGAACGAACGTGCGGAGGAGGCGGCGGCGAAGCGGGGTTGCCCAACTCTTCAAACTGGAACTCGGGATCAGGCCCTCTGATGCCAAGTCGCAGTGAAAAAACATGATAAAAGAAAGATGGGAGCGTCAGTAACTGGGATCGGCCGAGGTCTATTGAGAGTCAAGAGCACGACCGGTACTTGGCTTTTAGAGAACCAGAGCTGGAGGCGAGAGCTCGTCCACATCTGATTGAAGGTTGGCTGTACGCGGTTGACACACGGGCATCTGCTTAAGTGGGAAAGCCCTTGCGTTTCCGTTATGCAGAGAAAGGTTGTTCAATGTATCCCATATAATAAAGGCGTGTCGCGCCTTGGCTTCATACAGAGAGCGGGTAAGCATGCCGCCGCATTAAGAAGGGTTCTCGAATCCAGCAGTCGGTTTCTGGGTCCCCTGTTTCGTTTTTTAGAGAACGTGAGTTTTTTTCACTATATATAGTTTATAATCTATGTGTTTTGTCATTAAGTTTTTTTTTAATGCGTATACTTATCAGTCTGAGTGGTGAGGGGAGATGGTGAAATACAGCATCACCATCGCTCCTCCAGGAGTATCTGTATTCATGCTTAATGGAGCAATATCCAGTATTTCACCGACTAATCAGAAGGAGTGCAATGCATGTATGTATTTATTTGTGCTACTGACTTATTGAGTTAATTACTAATTGGCTAAATTTTAGTTTGGTTGGGTTTGGGGCTGAAATGACTTAGCTGTTAATAGCCCACGTCGGATCCTAAACCCCCTAAACCCCCGAAAGTGACGATCTCCTGGGCGTATGTATGATGTATAGGCACTAACGTCAGCACATCGGGGAGTGACAACCCTTCTGGGTGAAAGTTCAAAAGTACTTCATTAATGATGATATGAAAAGGTTAACAACCTCCTTTTTTCACGTAGCGCTGAAAGTACAAACCCAACGGAAAGAACATTGTAAACAGTCGGATTAAAAATATTTTGATATAAGTCTTTTGTAGTTCTTTATTTATTTATATGTTAAAACATTTAACTATTTATGTAATAAAACTATTTATTTATTAATTAAATGATTTTCTGAATTCGCCTATTTATTAAAGTAAGTATGCATTTATTTAGTTTTGAAAATTGTAATATTCAAACAATTGCGTTGTTTCCTAAGCCAGTTGTACAAAACTGATATTTTATTTTATTGTAAGTGGTTTTTTAAAACTTTTTCTCCAATGTTTAATTAGATTAATTTAGTAATTTTTGTAAATATATTTAAAATCCTCTGCCACTAAGAAGTGTAATGGCCATCTTGTCTTGTACTTTCTTTTTACACGCGTATGTTTAATATTATGTATTAAATAACCTCAAACTCAAACTCATACGCCCCCTTTGTGCTTGTTCACACAATATACTCATTGTTTCAACGTTTTAGCTTCTTGCATATTTAAAATGAAGTTGTAAATAAATAAGCAAATTTAAAAAACAAATTTTTTTTAAAAATTTTACGTTACCTATACATACAGTAAACTAAATAATAACAATACACATGTAATAATAAATAAGGTTGATGATTGCCAATAAAATGCGGATACTATGACGGGTCAAGATTTGGTTAATTGAACTTTTGCTCTTTAAACCGTATGACAATTAATTAAGGTTTTTAGTTGCGATGAAAAAAAGCTAATGGCACGAGAGGGATTCGAACCCACGACCTTCGGCTAAATACGCCGCTGCTCTACCACCTGAGCTATCGTGACCTCGTGACCTTTTTCATCTCAACTAAAAACCTTAATTAATTGTCTTGTATTAATTGGTCACGCGGGCCACGAAAATAGTGAATTAATGATTTAAAAATGAAGTACACTTCACTAAAGCTCTCCGTCGCCATTTCAATTGTCGTCGAGAATCCAAACCGATTACACGACATTTGAAAAATGGCAAAAGGAGGGAAAACTCATAAGGTGGGGTTGAGATGGGGAGTTGATGTCCGAGTGGATGGAGGTCACGATAGCTCAGGTGGTAGAGCAGCGGCGTATCTAGCCGAAGGTCGTGGGTTCGAATCCCTCTCGTGCCATTAGCTTTTTTTCATCTCAACTACAAACCTTAATTAATTGTCTTGTATTAATTGGTCACGCGGACCACGAAAATAGTGAATTACACTGTAATATTATAGGCATTCGTTCTTATATTACTGAATATGTATTTAAGTTATTATATGTTTAAAACTTTTTAATTGTTTTATCAGCTTACGCTTAATATATAAATACTCAATTAATTATACACATTTTTTCCGAAATGAAAAATTTGCGCCACAGGCGGGATTCGAACCCACGTCTTTCGGCTAAATACACCGCTGCTCTACCACTTGAGCTATCGTGACTTCGATCGCCCATGCCACAAACTTCGCATTTCGACTCCCCGTTTTATTCCAATTGTAAGCAAATCGCAGGTTCATATAGAAACACTTTTTATTAACGATTAATATTGTTAATTGTACATAGTATTTAGCAATTATTAAATACTGTGTACGAGTATTCATATAATTAAGCATAAGCTCATAAAATAATTAAAAAGTTAGTATTAATCTAGAATCACACCTGTGAATCGTACTCAGTCCCGCCAATATGTACCGATAAACAAGAAGGCAATAATCTCATCAAAACTTGATTATCTGCTTTCCAAGGAAAAATTCCACAATTTTTGAAATATAGTTGCAATATTCAAATTGCAACAGTTTTGCATGCTTGTCCAATGCAATTCATATTTAAGTTTCAAGAGATTAAGTTGATAACCTCAAATCTATTTTCAATTAGGAAAGTTTTAAAATCCAATTTTGTTCTTTTTAATTAGTATCCATGGTGCGACTGTGGAGGAAATCCGGATAGTCCGGTTTTTCTAGGGTCTGGAGCGGAATGACAATGAACCGGGAAATACAAAGCCTTAGTTGATTGACTCACAACACAATTACCTAACATTTATTGTCTCTTAGGGCTAAGTTTTCCGGCGGGGACTTTACGCAGGCCATTCTTATCGTTCTTGTTCCCCAGGAGCTCTTCAAATATTCTCACGCCCTAAAAAGGGGATAAGAAAGAAGGGTAAAAGTTTCTGGCAAGTCATTAACGGCTATGTCGCATTGAGATTAGGGTGAAAACAGAGTCCTATAATTACAAACTTTGAAGTTGAGAAAAGTAAAGAAAAAATGTATAAATGATGGAACAGCCGGCCCCTCTTCTACACACAGCGGCAACCGACGAGGACGTACCAACCGTGGAATATAAATCCAAATAAGAAAAACCAGAGTCAATTGCACCGAAATCTTTCGCCAAGATCTCTATCCAAAAAATCTGTTGGTAAGTAGTTTCCTTAGGAGCTGACTATTTAAGAAGACATAAAACAATTAATTTTTATGTGATCTAGGAAAAACCTGATCCCACATAATTTTAACATATGAACTTTTACTTTTTTCTATTTTGAAACTCTGCATACTTTGTCAGAGTCCATTATAAAGAGATTTAAGTCAACATTCATATTAACTAGAATACTTAAATAATAATTATTGACGAATAAAACAGTACGTGCTTATAAAATGTTTTTATTACCCCGGCTTACGGTATATACGAACTAGTGCAAATGCTTCTCCGCTTGCATATTTGATTAATATTTCGTTATTATTCATGAGTGTGTGTGTAGAAGCATCATATGCACATTTGGATTTTGCCTGTCTGTTTGTTTTGGCATAATGTCATGTGTTTATACTTCAACCCATTGAACCGTACGATAATCCAGACTGAGGTCGTGTCAAACTGGAATGTTTTTCTCCTGATATATGTATTAGTGAAAACAGGGAAAATAGAAAAAAAATCACCAAATTTTGTACATCGTCTTATATAATTTTCATTTTATTTTTGTTTAGCGAAACATCGAAAAGAAAAACAAAATAGTGGAAGAAAATAAACACTTGTTAAATACTATAATCTTAACCTTAAATATTTTACTTCGATTAACTATTTATAAAAACCTAAGTATATCTATAGCTACGTACATTAATTGCTTTTAATGGAATATTGAATATTTTTGTTACTAACAATTAAATTACACAGTGTATGTAAATGTAGAAAAACAGGATTTTGATTAATGATATTAGCGTAGCTGCGACTGAGTTGACATGTGTCTGTTCTGTAATTGATGTTGTGTTTATCTCTTGATGTAAACTATTTCTAAAAAGTTACGCTTATGTTTGTTTTGTTTTGTGTGCAATATTTTTGAATTGTTGAAATCGAAATTGTGTTGGTGCTCAAAATTGTGGGCAGCCACTGCTGTAGAATTTTGTTTGGGTTTTTTGCAATCTTAGATATGTTGCTTTACTCTCTTATCCAGATATTCGGATGTAATACCGATGTAAGTTGCCGGATAATTATCGATTGATTTTTTAAATTATGTCAGATTTATTTTTTGCTGGTGTGGGATCTTTAACTTTGGATAAAAGTGTGTATGTTGTTTTATAGTTTTTTCTTTAAAATAGCTTTCGCAAACTATAAAACCATTCACACACTTTTTTTCAAAATTAAAGATCACACACTTTTTATTATGGAAACAATTTGAGCAGAATTTAAATTATATGCTGGAATATTAAGAATGGTTACCCGAACATTCTTGCTCCCATCGTACACGCCCTTTAAGAGCTATTGTGTCTCCCCGTTCTGTCCTTATAGCACACTGGTGAATCCTAGTTCATCAAAGCATATGATTAGTAGGCCCGGTCTGAGTGGCTGAATTTCTTCTGTGGTTACATTATCCATACAAAACACTTTCTCATGCCGGTGAATGTTGTACGACAGTATTTTAGTAGTTGCGCGGTGTTTCCTCTGCTTCCTTGTACAATCTTCACGTGCCGTATTGGATTATACCAATCTTCTTCAAATGCCAATTCAGTCTGAACTGTCCTGTTAAGAATCCCGTTACAATTTGCAGGTTTTTCCCGCATCCTTTCGAGCATTCTTTTGTTTCTTTCCTCCCAAAATTTGCTAGAATATTCTTGGAACCAATGTTCTTGGTTGTGTTTAATGCGTCAATAACCCACCCAAATACCATCACCATTACCTACATAAACGATACCGCAAGTTTGTGCTCGACCTAGAATCTTATCTAAGCTACCGACAACATCCAAAAGAGTTGATGTCCGAGTGGATCGAGGTCACGATAGCTCAGGTGGTAGAGCAGCGGCGTATCAAGCCGAAGGTCGTGGGTTCGAATCTCTCTCGTGCCATTAACTTTTTTCATCTCAACTAAAAACCTTAATTAATTGTATAGTATTAATTGGTCAAGCGGACCACGAAATTAGTGAATTTAATGAATTAAAATGAAGTACACTTCACTAAAGCTCTCCGTCGCCATTTCAATTGTCGAGAATCCAAACCGATTACACGACATTTGAAAAATGGCAAAAGAAGGGAAAACTCATAAGGCGGGGTTGAGATGGGGAGTTGATGTCCGAGTGGATGGAGGTCACGATAGCTCAGGTGGTAGAGCAGCGGCGTATCAAGCCGAAGGTCGTGGGTTCGAATCCCTCTCGTGCCATTAACTTTTTTCATCTCAACTAAAAACCTTAATTAATTGTATAGTATATATTAATTGGTCAAGCGGACCACGAAATTAGTGAATCCAAAAGAACCTTGAGCTTATCGATGCCTGGTGCAAAAAGTGCAGGCAACACTGGATGAAAAATGTACCTAGTGTACGTTCATATTGAACAAAAATAAAATAGTCTTGCCCTCCACTGTACATCATCAACTTCTATTCAAGTCAAACACTTAAGACTTTACCAAGACAGCATACTTACGTTGAATCTACCCACAAACTTTTAGAGACACCAACTTAATAGAAGACTTGGACAACTACGAAGACTTCTACGAACGAAATCCGTCTTGACCGTAAGTGTTAAACTAACCTTACACAAGATTTTACTGCTACC